GGTACAAGCTCTCCCTCCTCTGCAAGGACAGATCTGCACGTGTCCCTCCCCCCCAATAACTAGCAATCCAAAACAGTCCAGTGGTACCTTCTGACACACTTCTGGTGATGTCAGGGGGTGTGGCATATGCAAATAAATTATGCTAAGGAGTTATGCTAATAAGCTCCTGCACCTCTTTTTCTACGAAATGACCCCTGCCTCTGAGGAGAAGACAGAGGCCTCCAGACTGTGCCAAGGGAACCAAGAAGACTCCTTTGGAAGGGCAGGGCAAAAAACAGGCTGCAGTCACCCTCCTGGGCCAGCAGGGGCCAGAAGAGAAACCTTATAAGGCTCCCCAGAGGGAGGGGCAGGGGAAATGGGATGCCAGGCAGGCAGCTGCCTATTGGGCCTAGGACCCGCCACTCCCATAGGCCCATCCCCCAGGATAGGAGTGGGTGTGGCCATAATTGTCCCACCCCCCCAGGCAGTCCTTGAAAAGGTGCGCCCTAGCAGAACCAGGGAGGAAGGGTCAGACCTCACCTAAGGTAACCAAGGAGAGGTTACTGGTGGGAGCAGGGCGCTGTAACCCCTCCCCCACTCTTTTCTGAGGTTCTTCCCCCATAGCAAGCCCTGCTAAAGGAAACCTGGAGACCGAGACAGTCCTGAACCCACTTGAGGGTCCCAATAGGTTAGAATACTGACTTACATAGAATCAGACTATGGGTCCACTGAGCTGTGTACTACGTACTTTGATCGATGGTGGATTGCTGGCCCAGAAAACCTTTCCCTGTTTCCTATGCTCCTTTAACTGGCAGTACCAGGAACTGATCCAGCAGTCTTCTGCATGCAAACTAGATGCTTTGACACAAGCCCTGCTAAAGGAAACCTGGAGACCGAGACAGTCCTGAACCCACTTGAGGGTCCCAATAGGTTAGAATACTGACTTACATAGAATCAGAATATGGGTCCACTGAGCTGTGTACTACATACTTTGATAGATGGTGGGTTGCTGGCCCAGAAAACCTTTCCCTGTTTCCTATGCTCCTTTAACTGGCAGTACCAGGAACTGATCCAGCAGTCTTCTGCATGCAAACTAGATGCTTTGACATGCGAAAGATGCTTGGACATTTATGTAGAAGAAGAAGAGGAGAAGGGTGTAATGTGTCCATCTCAGACCGCGTGCGCGGCCATTTCGCCACGCGGTCAGGCGAAGCGACCGAGCTTCACCCTCAGGAACAATGGGACAAGCGGATCCTAGCCGGCACCTATTGGCAGGCTAGGCTCCCAGCCGAGAGCCTATGGAACTCTCGGCCACTGTAAATAGCCAAACACTTGTGTTCGGGTGTGTTTAGGGTGCGGGGTTGTGCACATATAAACCAGCCTGCGAGCTGGTTACTCTCGTCTTGTTCTGAGCTGAAATGAAGTATGAGAGCTGAATTCACTAGTAAGTCTCAGTACTTTTCAAAGAGATTAGATTTATACCCCGCCCTTCACTTGGAGTCTCAGAGCATCTTACAAACTCCTTTCCCTTCCCCTCCCCACAACAGACACCCTGTGAGGTGGGTGGGGCTGAGAGAACTCTGACACAAACTGCTCTTTCAGGAACAGCTGTGCCAGAGCTTGTGACTGACCCAAGGTCACATCAGCAGGTGCAAGTGGAGGAGTGGGGAATCAAACCCGGTTCTCCCAGATTAGAGTCCGCACACTTAACCACTACACCAAACTGGCTCTCTGTAAAAAAGCAGTGTTATTTTTTTGCCACACAGAACAGATATACCAGTACCACTGACCCTTTGCTAAACATACAAAGGCAGGACTTTAAGCGCGTTGCTCGAAGACGATTTAGATTGGCTCAAATGTCATTAAGAAATGAGCAAACGGATGTACATGTATTCTTCCCTACTGATCTACCCTTCCCTCGTGCATCGCTGTCTTTGTAGCTTCCCCCCGTGTCTAACTTTAGAGTCCAAATCCCCCTTGGGGCAAGAGGCTCCTACCTCCTTGTCACTAGATAAAGCACCATGCACATTGATTGCACCACAAGCAGCGTACATTCATGTGCAAGCCATCTCGACATACTTGACCGGTATCGCAAGCAGGCCCTGAGCAATTATCTTCCTGTATACCTTTACACAGCACAGAAACTACATTTTATGACCACGCCAACGAGCACAGCTTCACTGAAGCACCGAGTTAGAGGAGGGCTCCTTCATAACCCGCACTGCTGGATTTTCAAATGTCCTACCCTCAGGGAAACCAAAATCAAGGAGACTCGTGGCACTTTAGAAAAGGACAGATTTATTAGCGCACAAACTTAAAGACAGCCTCCTTAGCCAAAACGCTCAGTTTAATCTGTTCGTTTGTAAGGCACCGCAAGAGTTATGTTTTGCTGTAACATCGTTACCCCTTCGTGCCTTCAGGGAAATCCTTTCTTTCCACATCATGGAATCCCTGCACACCGCAAAGGATTCTGGGTCAGCAAGGTTTCTGAGGTATTGTGAATGTCGGGGATAAGGTTGTGAGCGCTGGGTTGGGAAGTACCTGGAGATTTTGGGGGTGCAGCCTGGAGAGGGCGGGGTTTGGGGAGGGGAGGGACCTCAGTGGGGTACAATGCCATAGAGTCGGCCATTCAAAGCAGCCATTTTCTCCAGGGGAATTGATCTTGGTCACCTGGAGATCAATTGTAACCAGTGTTCCCTCTAAGCTGACTTAGTGTGAGCTAGCTCAGAGTTTTTTAGC